TTCTGTCAGGACCACTATCGTCAAAGATGATTGACAATTAGCATACAGTTTGGATTGGCGGTATGGTTCTGTTCTGGGCAAGAACTCCCTGCGCATCCATGCAGCCTAGCATGGATGAGAGCAGGGAGAGCAGCAATAACCCCCCAGGGTAAACAGAACAGAACCAACATAAATGTATTGTAGATATTGTTAAAGTTCAATAATGTTATGTACACATTTTAGAATTAGTCTGATTCAAAGGAGAATCAGAAGGCTGAATCCCGACTGACAGAGGAGGAGCTGGGGATGGAGGAGGGTAATTAGCTATTGAGCAATGCGAAAACTGCGTATACTACTGCGGGACCTTATATATGAATACTTAGATGGGTGTCGTATTCCTATAGGTTGATGGGGATCAGCTGAGAGTCAGCTGATGCGAGCTTGACTAACGTGACCTGCCAGAACTAACGCTACACTAGATTTGCTTTAAATTAAGTTGTTTTATGTATGTTCTGACGTACCTATTTTGTTTTATTTTGTTTGATTCGCGGTCTTTTTGTAGCTCCGGCCTCCGACTGTGATTGGTCAGTTCCACACCCTGTTTTTCGGCTCCGTGCGCATGTTCTTCCTGGGCGTTCTGGGATTTGCGGTTTATGGGAATGAGGCCCTTCATTTCAGCTGTGACCCCGACAGGAGGGAGCTCAACCTCTTCTGTTACAATCAGTTCAGACCTGTAACGCCGCAGGTAAAGTTGCAAAAACATCTTAAGTTAGTAATACAGATGGAAAGCTTTAATTGAGTGTCAGATTTTACACGTTATTTTAACGTGAGAAAAAAAGATTGAAAGGTGTCCTCAGAACAACAGGATTTTACATAAATGTCAGGATGGGGCAAGTTGTCACATACAGTTTAAATGTTGTAATATCATATTTTCTATTGGACTCAATTATTTGTACAATCTTTTTAGTGTTTTATTTTATTTTTAAACTAAATGTTGAAAACCAATTAAATACCTAAAAAAGTTGTTTAAAAAAAAACACCTGTGCTGCTTAATATTTTTATGGAAATCATGACATTACCATTCAAAAGTCTGAGGTAAGATTTTAAAAAACATTTTTTTAAATAATCTATTTATTTATTTATTTATTTGTTATTGCTGTTTACAAAAATAAACCTACCTTACGAAATATTCATTGGGGAAAACTTTTTTGTTTTTGAAGGTATTTTGGGCCCTGCAGCTAGTGACGGTTCTTGTTCCAGGGGCCGTATTCCATCTGTATGCAGCATATAAAAACATAGACCAAGAGGATATTCTGGAACGACCAACCTACACAGTGTTCTACATCATTTCTGTACTGCTACGGATCGTCCTGGAGGTGGCTGCATTCTGGCTCCAGAGTCGTCTCTTTGGATTCCTGGTTCATTCGCTGTACTTCTGTGATGCCAGTTCACTAGAGAAGATATTCAAATTCACTAAGTGTATGGTACCTGAGCACTTTGAAAAGACCATCTTCCTCAGTGCAATGTACATTTTCACCATTATCACCATGATTTTGTGTATGGCTGAGATTTTTGAAATCCTCTGCAGAAGGCTGGGCTATTTAACACATCAATGAAAATCAACAACTTGAAAACCCAAAAGAATGCAAATGTAAAGGACATTTTTCATATAATCAAACTGCATGATTGCATGCCTTCCATCCAGGGGTTTTGACTATTTTCTACCTTACTGTGAATGAAACACTGAGAGGCAGAAATAAGTGTTTGTAAATATTTTGCACAATAATAATCTACTGTTCATTTGACTTATTCTCTAAAATAATCAATGACTTGTCTTGTAATGCTTTTGTCATGAAACATTACTGTCTTGTGTATTATTGTAGATGTATGTTTCATTACAAATATTAAATATCCAATTAAAGTTTTAACTGAAAGTATGCTTATTATAGAATTTGTAATTAGAAACATATGATAAAAAGAAGCATATGAGAATGTGCTAAAGTATATGGTAAAGAAGTACAAAAATAATCTGGATTTTTAAAAACATTAGAGATGAAAATATATTTACTTGTTTCTCTGGTTTGTTTATTATTATTATTAATAAGCATATCTCATTTTGAGGTAAGAACACTGTCAACAAGTTTTTATAATAGAACTTTAATTTCCTTTTTTTTTTTTTTTCTAAAGGACATCTTGTAATCAGAGTAAAACAAAAACAAACAATTAAATAAGAAGAAATCAGCTGCCTTTATGGGCAAAACAAAATAAATATTCATGAACTTCTATAAATGATGACCAGTCCATAAGATACATAACAGGTGTAATTTCTAAAATGTAATTTCCATAAATTCAACCTAGATACCTCAAAATCTTTAATATGTAATACTGTAAACATGACATGAAAGTTCCTTCAGTATAAACTCAGTTTAACTTCATCTCAGCATTTTTAAATACTCAGACTATTAATATAAATACCATAAACTGCCTGCTACTTCATATGATATCCGTATGTTTAATATGAGATAGCACGTATACCTTCTTTAAAGACATTTAAAATGACTTAGGCTAAAAATTCATACATTCAAACAGTCAGACAAGTTCACCAGACAAGACCCTTTCATCTGATGGCAAGAAACACCTGAAAAAGCAACTGTCCCTTCAAATATACAATTCATTTTTGTTTACTTCAACACAAGCCACTCTTCAAAAGAAATTACAGTACATGATAGCGATTATGTGTGTGTATTTGTGTAAATATGTATGTGCGTATATGTGTGTATGAACGTACATGTGTATGTGCACATATAATTGACTTAACAGTGACTGGAATGTTGTGCCATATGATTAATTCAATGAAAATTCATTTAAAAGACCTTCAATATTGATGACACGGCCTTCAGCTCGCTAGAAAGTGCTTCGAATAGTCATCTTAATGCACGATACTTACCGCTTTTAATATAATAATATGTCATATGCAGATCTATACTATTCAAAATGCCTTGTAATGACATTTCTTTGCTTAAGTGCAGAAAAATCTAAAAATTAAATAAGGAAACGAGGTATGATACATTTAGAAAAATACTATACGGTGGAGAAGGTTTAAACTGTTTAAAGAATTTATCAACACTTTTGAGTTCATAATCTTGAACGCACATAATGCAGTTATAAAGGTGCCAGCAAAAATATACAACAGCATACAAGGCAACGTCATAGCACAGCTTAATGCAAACTTTAACGTAAATAATAATTGCAATCTCAAAAAGCAACCACGTTACCTCATATTAGTTCAACTTAATGACCACCACTATTAAGTGCATAAATAGGGTACATCGAATGACCTTCTCTCATCGAGGGATATGCAAACATCTTCTTAAAAGGCACAAGCAAAAGTCAAAGACGATTTCAGTAAGAACGGCGACTGGTATTTTGTAGTATAATTGGGACATAATGATGCACTTCCAGTCCTGTGAAACTCAGAATTATAGTTTTCATGAAATACTGATATAATTGTTTTGCATGTATTGTTGCAAATATGCAGCTTGTACATGTTTAAAGTTGAAATTGATAATGCAGGAGAATATGGCATGTGCATTGAACATAAATGCAAGATGTTGTGCATATTCTGTGTATTACGTTTCTGCCTATGCTACCAAAACTCCTTGGTCAGACTCTAACGCCAAAAACACACTCTAAGCAAGTTTGATTTTGTGCATCTTTGCCTTCCGAAATGTGTCAGACTGCAAGGGGGCGCTAAGGGTCAACTACTGAGCAAGTTAGATAAAGTTTGTTAAACTTGGCATGTTTACAGCAGCTACCTGAATAATAACACATCCGGGTTAATGGCATAGACACTTAAAGGTAACTCTATCGCCCCCTTGAGTACAGAAGTTTGCAACCGCCAGTGCAACACAAGAACCCACGTAATGTATGTTGAATGCAACCATTGAATACTTGCATGAAGTATGTTTCTGGTCTGAGCTTTAGTTTTAACTTCTGAATGCGATTATACAGTGCTTACAAAGTCAGCTTTTAGGCGATTTATCAGCTGCATCTTCAGATGTGATTCTGAGGGACGCAATAGCTTTTGCACAGATGTAGACGCTCTCCTCCTTCTTATCGTCTTTGCTAGGAAGGCCAGTGGAAGAGGTTGCTATTTTTCCACTGTAGGCCACTCCAGGATCTGGGACAGAGGCTGAGGTCCGGCCCGAACTTGCTGTTTCTAATATGTTCCCCTGTGGAATTGATGGGAGCGAATTTCTCTCCCCAGCAGCACCAGATGTTGACATGGTGGGCATTCTTATCCCCCCAATAGGGATCATCGGAACAGGCGTTGGCACCTGTCCTTGAGAATGCAAAGGCAAATGGCTGAAGATGTCTGGCTGCAGGGTTGTGGACAGATCTTGACCGCTGCATAGGCCAACAGGAACATACAGATTCTGAGGAGTATCCCCTTGATCCTGAAAAAAAAATGAATGTTGTTCTTGATGCTGACAGATTCATTCTGGTATGTAAACTATTTTCAGAGAATTAAATAAAGTCATCGGACTTGGTGTAGATTTGGTGTGAACATTTTTTTAAATTATTATACTGTTATGCCATTAAGGCTTGGCACCAGAATTGGCTGTATAGCAATATTTTACCCAACAATTCTGGCATTATATTCTTCATGCAGATTTTATTCTATACAAAGAAAGTGTATAATAACCATATATTAACAATTAATAGTTTACAATTGATAAGGTACACTTTTGTCTCCAAAAGCAATGCGTAAAATGTAATGTGCCTTCCTGTAGCTCAATCAGTATCAGTAAAGCAATGCCAAGGTCACGGGTTAAATTCCAAGGGAAAGCAAGACTTGATTGTGTACCTTGAATGCAATATATGTCGCACTGGATAAAAGCATCTACCAAATGCATAAATGTAAATCTAAAAGCATACCCTTCCGGTGTCTGAGCGCACTCCGATGACTGGTCGAAAGGGAGAAGCTTGAAATTTCACACTCCTTCCCGGATCCATGAGGGTCCTGTGCTGATAAGACCCACTCCGTGGGGACACGGCCCTGAGCACCCCTTTTTGTCGACCCAGTGGAGACTGCGCTCGTTGCCCCGATGGGTCCAAACCTGTAGGTCTTACAGGTGACAGCTGCCGGATAGGTGAAAAATCCCCTCTGATGCTCAGATCTCTCCTTGGAGAAATCGCCCTTAAAGGAGATGAATCACGGCTTGACAAAAGGTGACATTGTGGTGAGAGATCTCCTTTCGAGGACATGTACCTCTGGCGAGGTGAATCCCAACAAGGCGTCAGCAGCTGAGGTGGGCAAGGCTCAGAGGAACTACTTGACTGCTCAAAGGTCAGATCATCATCAGTACTCGGAGAAGAAACTCCAAGCTGTTCCTTCGGTGGATTGCGGCTCGGGTCAAAGTGTTTAGGGAGACAGCCAGACAGACATAGCTTGTTAACTGCATAGGACTGAGGACTTGTGCTTCTGGACAGTGTTTTTGGTGTAGAATCACCATCACATTCATCATCTTCATCATCATCTGGTTCATCCTCATCGATGCCATCAGAATTTTCTGCATCTGAGAACTGATGTTTAATGGTTGTTTCCACTGGCATGATGCCTAAGGACTTCTGCATGTCATCTACACAGGCAGTAAGAGAAAAAAAAACGAAATTAGTGTATTGTTCTAATATTTAATCTTTTACATTGCAGAAAAAAAGTAGTTTTCTTTAATGAAAAGCATCTACATAATAAAACGATTTCCTACACATTTTTTTAAATACTGTATATAGGGATGCTAACACCTTGCTGCTAACAAATGTAGTTTCACTAAAAGCCTTGCTACTTGTATTAGCTATGCTACTGCCCAGTGTTGCAGAAGTAGTAATGTTCCTACCAGCATCCTCTGTATTGTCCATGGTTGTGGGCGAAACTCCAAGTTCAAGGCACTTTTTCATGTGAGCTTTTGACTTCATATGCTTGGTGAGATTCCCTAAAAAACACAGGGGTTATTTTTCTATCCCAATCTTTTGTAATCATGCTTGAATGTGAATGTGGTAAAACCAACCTTTAGTTTTGAAAGCAAAGTTGCAGCACTTGCAGACGTAGGGTCTCACATCCGTGTGCGTTCGTATGTGTTTCTTGAGCATGCTTGGCTTCTTACAACGAATGCCACATTCTTCACATATATACTTTCCCCGACCACGGCCTCTCACGTACATATATTCCTCATTGGACTTATAACTGATAGAAATAAACAACCAGAACATTTCCATTACGATGCGTTACTACAGTCACATATGAACATCAGCATTATCAAAGTACATATACATACCCTCCTTCAAAAATCTTCACACGGACTGGTTCTACTTGCCGTATGGTGGACGCAGCATCCTCTCGTAAAGATCTGCACCTCTGGCTAATGTCTCTTAGCCTCACGTCCTGTTTTGTATCTTCCTCTCTGTAGTCCAGTGTTACCTGCAATAGTGCAACAGACCTTATGGAACAGATGGCTAAATAACGTACAGGTAAATATAGCACAGCAGCAAGTGGCAAATCAGCTAAAACCTACAACAGATAACATACTTGTTCTTGCTTCGGTCTCCAGGGGGTGGAGGTCACAAGTAGTCCA